TTCTGTCCTAATTAATAAAGACTAAAGATCAATCCATAAAAATGGACAGTCGAGCAGCAGAGGTTTAATTCATCAATACTGTTTCAACCTAGAGGCACTGGCTTCCTCCAGAGCACATCTAATGAAGATATTGCCAGACATTTTAAAGAAATGATAAGACATCGAGGTGGGGGGGTTGAGGGTTATCACATAAAAATGCATTAGTATTTCACAGTGGTATCAGATGAATGTTAGGGTTGTCATGTATATGCAGGACTGGGAGAACACTTTGACAACACACATGGGAGAGGACAGAGAGGGGTTTATACGGTATATGCCTTAAGAAAACAAAGGATTAAAGAAATGAGTAGGATCCGTGCACCCTCTTACTGACACTAAATGAGGGGAGTCATGGGTGAGCACAGAGCTAGGAGGCAGGTATCAATACAGAGTGAGTGAGCACGACCATCAGCACTTAGCCAGAACAGCTCATCTGTGTGTGGCCACACACTCACCATGTGATGAGGCCGGCGGCGACGGCGGACCAGGTGACGCAGCAGGAGCTGGGCTTCTTTGTCTCCTCCTCATCATCCTTGCGGCAGCAGCACAAACAGCTCAGGTAGATGGCCAGACACAGAAGGTTGAGGCCGAGCCCCACGGCCACCACACAGGCCAGGAATATAAGAGACTAGAAGAGACAAACAAACAAGTAAATTAACTGAAGTGGTTGTTTAGACCAGACAAGTCCCAAGAGAGCACGTTTATTTACCTCAGTTATGACAGGATAAATTTAACATTTATTTTGTATAATTATTTTAATTACACAATGTTTACGATTACATGGTGTAATTAACATAATTATAAAATGTGTACATGGTCGACATAAGTTGTATTTAGAGTAAGGGTCTCTGGTGTATTTGTGTCACAGAGACATTTTGCCACCAAGAAATATGTTCCTGGTGCATCGTAGATCATTTCTATTTAATTAAGGTTGAGAAAAATTCTTTACCTCCTCCATCATAGCACTGCTAGGGGATATTTCAATATTGCCTGGAATAAATGTTATGCCAACTGCTAGAGTGAATCAGCTCAAGGGATGTAATGAAAGACTAATGTGGATTCTATGATAGGAAAAGTATATTTTTGTTACTTATTACCTACATGTACCTCGTATTTAGTTTATTCAACAGTATTAATTATATATTGCATTTATTATAATAAATGCCTGCAAATGCCTTAATTCTGCTAAGATTTGCAAAACTAAGCTGTAATATATTTTCCAGTGATATTGAAAACTCCTTAGATACTAAATTTAAAATCTTGCCTGCAGTCAGTCTGGATCTGTCTTCAATTAAAATGTCTGGTTTATGGCAAGGAAAAGAAATGGAAAGGTGACCACAGACTGTTGTTGTCTTGAATAGAGGAAAAATGGACGAAATCCATCTGAAACACTGCAGCAGGTGAATTTAAAAAAGAGAAGGTCACCCAGTAGTAACTCGGCCTCTCTCCTCCCTTGTTGTGCTGCAGGTATCATTTTCTTACTTTAAAGGTTTTTGTTTACCCGACAGAATATTGTCTGCTAGTGGAAACACTGAAAGCCCTTCCTTTGTTCTCTTTTGTGTACCAAAATTTAAAAATGAGTACAAAACAATATGAGAATGAAAAAAACATGAGAAGCTTAGATCAACCAGAGTAAGAAAAAAAATGCAGCTCTACCAAGGGACACAGAAGAAAAATACATTTACATATAGGTTATATCTATATATTTATGCCTATATATATATAGTTTTTTTTTCATTATATATATTCTGATCTGGAGTTACTTTGCCAGCCATGTTTGAAGGTGTTTGCATAAGGTAATGATGTGGATGCGCTGTCCTTGGTACTGAAATGGAGTGGTGGTTAGGGTTAGGAGAGGTGGATAGGTAGTAAAACATTTATACATTTTTCATGAGCGGTGGATAAAATTAGGCGGGGCATGTAGAAGTACAATGGTGCAGCTCCGCGGTCATGTCAGTAAGCTGTATACAATGGACGAGGACGTCCCCCATCTGTCTGCACCTCATATAATATTTAAAGATTTACAGTAGGGGCCACTCTGACAACTAGGTGGCTACCACCAAATGGAGCTGAAGACAGAGTGTGTATTAGCCTCACGATCAGTAACCAGTGAAGGCTAACACTTTGATTATTCAGTGTTTGTACACCGCGGCAGCACGACATGTCACGATGCCAGAGTTCACCCCAAGAAAACATATTTCTTCTTCCATTGATTACTCAATCAGCTAGAAATCAACAAGTCATTAATTAATGGCACTGTAATTATATTTATAACCAACATTCAGCCCAGCTGCCCTGATGCTTTCTCTCCCCCGCCTCCAGCTGGGGAGCACACACCCTCTTACACCGCTCTGCTTTTCTCCTTCTCGTTCCTCTTTTAGCTCCCCTCCACCTCCTGCTAGCGATGTGACAAAAATAGCAGCCAGACTGTCCTAACAGCCTGAAACCAATTTTTACGGCCATCTGTGAGCAGATGGGCTTATTTAAGTTGTACTTTTCCTTTTATACACCCCAACCCCCTTTCTTTCCTTCTCAGAGTTTGTGTGAAATCTCTCTGATGCAGAGCCATCTGTTCCCACACAGTGATGTCATGTGTCCTGGGGATTAAACACAAAAACCATAACATTCCCAGGATTATTTTAATGGCTGTAACCTATCCTTCCTGTATCACTTCCACCAGGTTGGTGTCTTTCATTTCCATAGCTTCTGTCCACAGAGAACAAACGGCCACCAGAGTGAATGTTTAACAGCTTGAACCTTCATTAATTACCTCAATTTCCTTCCATTTTCACTCAATGATGCAGGAGTTCAAGGACATTCAGCAGCACAATTAAAGAGGTGACAATATGAATTTGTTTACGGGTGTGTGCTCGCACAGAAGACTTGCAGTGTGCACCAAGGTGAGATGTGGCGACACAAATAGATGGAGAGGCTGCTCTGATGACAGGGTGAGATTTTGAGTCATGACGACTGATTAAGTGGATTTAATTGGGGTAAATATAGTTAATAAATGCAGATAGGGAGTGAAATGAATAGTCTCAGTGTGGGGAGGGAGCCAGAAAAGGAAGGTTAACTCCTGCTTCACACATGTCGACTTTGCGTTGAGGTAAAATGCAGATAAGTTCGAGGAAAATGTTTAGAGCCTCCTCAAATCAGGCAACATCTGAATTTCACTGCAGATAGGGAAAAGCAAAAACATGACGCGCAAGGAAATGGTCAAAGAAAAGCTTTAGGGTTATCAAAACCTCAGTTTTGATGGAAACAATCTTTTAACAAATGCATATAGTATGGATTTGTAGGTTTAATTTATTTTTTACATTTCAAACACCAATGATGTCACTTGTTTTCTAATGTTTTTTTCCTCTGACTCTCTGCCGTCTGTTCTTTGTGAGGTACAGAAATAGTGACTTCTGAATAATGCAGCGACTGAGTGGATGTTCACTTATGCTGTAACCCCGATGTGGAAACATCACTGTTTGTTCAAACCTTGCAGTGAGTTAAAACACATTCATTACACAGAAATTAGAGTGTGAACATATGAGATCTCTGGATAAAGTACTCTTGAATGTGCACAACTCAAACACATCCATCCAGTAGCACTGTGCTTTTGTAATACTTCATCTCAATAGCCTCTATAGAGAGAGGGCGGCCGAGCTGGAGGCAATAAACACTAGAAGGAATGGAAAATCAAGCCCAGTCAAAATGCAATGCCTGAGAG